GAAAATCCCGAACTCTCAGTGCGGCCTAATTGTCTTTCCAAACGTGCCCTTGTGGACGCTGTGATGCGTTCCCGATAAGGCTGCGGGGCTAGATGTGAATGTGGACACGGAAGCCCCGCTCGCCGGTGAAACGAGTTATTTTGCTCTATGGGGGGGGAGAACGTATAGACTCTGGTCCCCCCCCCCCCCCGCCAACCCATTTGAGTCTTGATTAAATTGAACATTAGGGCTTAAGGCTAATTTGCTCTGCTGTGTGTGCACACGTGCGTGCGTGTGTGAGCGTGTGTGCGTGCGTGTGCGCGTGTGCGGGCGGGGCGGAGGCGGAGCGTCTGCCGGGCCCTGTTTTCTTTTATGGAGGCGCCCTCCTGTGGCCGCAGAAAACACTGCAGTGTAAAATACCATCTCAAAATAAAATACTCGCACACCGACTCGCTGTTTATGGGGCCATTTTTCTCTGAGGTCCTTCCGCAAAGACAAATTCCCACTAAGCTACACAGATCAATGGAAATTCTTCAGGAAACGTTTGATCTGGGCTTTTAAAGTTCGGATGCTCCAGTGTTAAGTCTCCAGAGTTTCCGAGAGCAGGGCCCCTCCCGAGGCGCGTGCAGCCGCACACCGGCGGCGGCCCCGCAGAGCCCCCCGCGCCGCAGTGCTGAGCCTCACCCCTGCCGGCCCGAGCAGCGCCGGCGTCTGGGGCGCTGAGATCCAGGCGTCTGAAGCTCCCGCTCCTGCCTCTTCCTGCTCTGGGGGCCCGGGCATCTCGGGGCTCGCGGCTGCGTCACCGGTCGCAGCCTCAGTCTCCACGTGGCCACCTCCTGCCCGTGTCTGCCTCAAACCGCCCCCCCTTCCTGGGACACCTGCCCCTGGATTTAGGGCCACCTTAATCCCGATGGTCTCGAGCTGGAGCCTCGGCCAGAGACCCGCTTTGCACACCGGGTCACGATCACGGGTCCCGGGTTAGGGTGTGGACATATGGTTCCGGGGCCACCGTCGACGCCTGCGGATGACGTGGGATCTCAGGGAGGGGCTGGGCGAGCAGTCAGCCGGGGCCGACTGGGGGCAGGAGGGGACCATCCTGGACGCAGCAAGGACAGCCTGGTGGCCCAACTGCTCCTGGGCCCCGGGAGCTACTAATTTGTCCCTCGGACTCTGCTCTGCGTTCGGGGCCTTCTCTGTGCAGCGGCCAGTCCATCCTCACCGCCGCCTCCATCAGGACCCCAGCCTCGCTCAGTGCGCACCTGAGTGGACGCCGTGGGGCCGCCTGAAGCAGGGACAGCAGGCTGTGGGGGCACCGTCTGTGTCAGGTGACCGACTCGGGGCTGGCTCCTCCCCGGCTGCTCCCTGAGCCCTGATCCGGGGGGCTCCTGGATCCCGGGGTGACAGGCGATCCTATCAAGTGACAGCCACCATCAGGTGAGAGAAGACCCGCCAAGTGACGGGTGACGGCTGCTCGCCAGGGACGCGGTCCTGGGGCTCGCCCACTGCTGGCCCAACCCCCCACCGCTCACCAGCCGGGCTCGCGAGTCTGGTGGGGAAGCGGCAGCCAACCGACCTCTCCTGGGAACCGCTTGCGTCCAGGCCACGCCACGTGCTCTGCCTTCAGCGCCGACTCCAAACTCCAGCTGCTGCTGGAGGCTGCCTCCACCTGCCTCGCCACCCCCCCCCCCCCGCCNCCCCCCCCCCCCCGCCCGCCTCACCTCCTCCTGCTCCACCCAGAATCCCCCCTCCTCCCAGTTCACCTGGCTGCCTCCGCCCTCCAAACCCACCTGCAGAGCTCCTCAATCCCACCAGCATGTGCCCCTCTGAGTTCCCCCAGCACTAACTGTCTGAGCCCACGACTGGGGGCATGCCAAGGGTAAGGCAGGGGGCGACTCATCCTGCCTGGGGACAGGGGACATCTCTTCCTGTCCCCTCTGCAGGGTGGGGGTGCAACTCATACAGCTGTGTCTCCAACATGCTTGACGTATGTTGCACACGGTGTGCATTAGGTGGATGGACAATGGGTGGGTGGATGGATGGATGGATAGACAACGGTATGGATGGACGGTGGGTGGGTGGGTGGATGGGTTGATGAAGGGACAGTGGGCTGGATGGATGATGGGTGGGTAAATGGATGGACAATGGATAAGTGGGTGGATGGATGGACAGATGCATGGGTGGATGGTGGATGGGTGGATAGATGGATGGATGGGTGGGTACGTGGGTGCATGGGTGGATGGGTGGACTGATCCACTGCTGGTGGTCTCTTCTCTGTTAGACAAATGGCAGTGGGGACCTGTAAAGAGCTGGTGGCAGAAGCTGGCCCAGGAAGAGAGAACCGCAACCTGGCTTCCTGCCTTTGGTGGTCATCCCGAAATCGGGCTGCAGTCACCCTAGGCAACGAGAGTGTGGGAGTGCTCGTGTGTGTGTGCAGCCCGTTTCTCCCGGGGGATTTCAGTGTCTCTGGCCCCTAAGAGTAAGCCGGCCTCCCTCAGGGGGCTTATCCCCCCCTTCTGCTGTCACAGGGGGCCCTCCGTGCCCTCCTGTGGGACGGGGCCCACAGGCCCAGCTCTCTGATGAGCCTCTGTCTCTCACACATGCGCACTAGGCCCAGGTTGCACCCCAGGACTACTCCACGTCCTGGGAGAACCCTGGTTAAATACACATATTTCTCACAATCACCAATACGGTCATCCCTCTGGACAGAGAAGGGTGTCCTGAGATGTGGCTTCAATGGGTTGGAATCCAAGACCTGAAAATCTGCAAGTTCACAGCAGACGGAAAAAAGAAAGCAACTGGCCGCGGTGTCCTTCGAGGAAGCCAGAGCCCCGGGAGGGAAAGACCATTTATCAGGCTTCTCCATACAAAGTACACTTCGCGGACCGCAGTGGACCCGAAAGTCGGTCTTCACTGCCCCTCAAGCAAGGAGGCAGAGAGAGCACCTCAGTACTGGGGGGGGGGGACAGGGTCTGCCAGGCCCCGCCGCGCCCAGCTCGGGGGCGCTGGGCACCGAGCGGGCCGCCCTGAGGTCTGTCCTGTGTAACCGGACAAGGAGGAAGCCAAGCCCCCGGGTGTCCCTAGGCCCGAGCCCCCCGGGAGCTGCGGCCTCGCAGAGGGGAGCCGGCGGCCGCGGGGCGGGGCCTGCTGCCCTGGGCCCTGGGGTGCTGCAGGGCACCCCGCCCCCCCCGGGGCCATCCGCCGGGAGGACCGCTCCCCAGGCCCTCGCCGCGACCACCAGGCCGCCCGGGGGCGCGGGAGCCGGACGACGGGCCACCGCCCCTCAGACTCACTCTCGGAGCGCGGGGGTTCACGGTCCTGTGTCATGGAGGCCGCCCGTGTCACCGTGTAATGGCTAGTGGGTCAGAGGAACAATCGTTTTCATGCCGTAAAAACTGAACTGTTTGTTCACTAAGAATGAACGCTGTTGATCAAGCGAAACCTATAAAGAGCTCGGAGACACAAGGCAGAGCAGTTAGGCCGACGCGCAGGTCGTGGGGAGCCGGTGGTCGCCCCGGCGGGGCCCAGGGGGCGGGGCCATGGCGGGGCTGGGGCCCAGGGGGCGGAGCTGGGACTCAGGGGCGGGGCCCAGGGGCGGGGCCCGGGAGCGGGGCGGGGACTCGTGGGCGGGGCCCGGGGGCGGGGCCCGGGGGCGGGGCCCGGGGGCGGGGCGACGGCCAGAGCCTCGTCCCTCCAACGTGGCTGCCGCCCCGTGACTGCGCGCGGCTGCGTCGGCCCCGCGGGAACGGTGCTGACGAACATCGAGGCCCAGCCGCCGGAAGCGCGCCTCCAGCTTGGCCGCGTGACACTTCGGCTCGTGACACGGAGACGCCCCACGCCACGCCACGCCCTAGAACCTTCCCCCTGGCAGCTGCGGGGGGCACAGGCCTGGGAGGCGGCTCTTGGCCACCCCCCATGCAGCTGGGAACCATGTGGACGACACACTTCAAAGGGGTGGGGAAGTGGGGAGCACGAGGTAGCCCCCCAGGCCCAGACGAGAGCCTCCGGACCCTGGGGTGACCCTCTGTGCCGCCACGGCCAACACGGCCTGTACAACAGAGGGGCAGGCAGGAAGCAGATCGGCCCGGCGGCGGCCTGGGAAGGGGCCCCACGCCCGGGTGGGCAGCTCAGGGCCCGGGGAGGGTGCGGAGGTCAAGGGCCAGAACCGTGCTTCAGGCGCGTGGAGCCACCTCCCTCCCCAGGCACCAACAGCACCTGAGATAAACCCACAAACCAGACGTGGCCTCGGGAGAGGCTGCAGGTCCGCGGCGGCCTCTCTGTCCCAGAAGCACGTGCGTGGCCTGCGCAGGGCACACCCCACACCCACCTCCACACCGCCCCCCACGCGGCCAGCCAGGCCACGGCCTCAGACACGGTCAATCAGTGCGAGCCTGGGCTTTAAAGTATCGTTTCAAGGGGGCGCCTGGGGGCTCAGTCGGTTAAGCGTTCGACTTCTGCTCAAGTCATGATCTTACGTTGTGGGTTCGAGCCTGCGTGGGGCCCTGTGCTGACAGCTCAGAGCCTGGAGCTGCTTCAGATTGTGTCCCCCTCTCTCTCTGCCCCTCCCCTGCTCTCTCTCTCTCAGAAATAAATAAAACATTAAATAAATGAATAAACAAATAAACACATAAAGTGTCTGGGGCACCCAGGCAGCTCAGTTGTTTGAGAGTCAACTTCAGCTCAGGTCACAATCTCTCAGTTTGAGAGTTCGAGCCCCACATCGGGTTCTGTGCCAACAGCTCAGAGCCTGGATGTCCTTCCGATTCTGTGTCTCCCTCTCTCTCTGCCCCTCCCCTGCTCTCACTCTGTATCTCTGTCTTTCTCTCTGTCTCAAAAACAAATAAAAACTTTAAAATAAATAAATAAAATGACGTTTCATCTCACAGTAATGCATCTCCCAATCCAGCCTCTCGCCCTAAATATCACTTTATCTTTCACAATTGAGATGACAGAGGACTATTTTTACTTTTAATCACTCGCAACCATGCAGCTCCTGGATATTAATAATGACGGCAAGTCAGCAGTCAGAGGCAGCGCTTACGTTTTATTTATGTCAGTAGCACTTAAAATACACTATGATTTCATGGGTACATTTTCCACAGTAAGCCGTAAATACCCGTCCACACCACCTCCCGCCAAAGCCAAACAAAGCAGCCTTCTCCTAACAGTCAACTTAGAATCACAAAGGTTACGCTCATCTCCGGCTTCCACGCCCACGACACCCATGACACGGCCATGGGGCCACGGGGCCGGCGGGCTCGGCGCTCCAGAGTCTCGGCACGGGCACTGTCGCATCACGTCAAAGCTCTGCCAGAGGCCTCGTTTCCAAGCGGAGCGGACAGGCCCTTGTGTTCAAGAGGAGGAGAGGCCTGCAGAATAGGTTGGGATCGGGATCGGGATCGGGTCAGGGCAGACAAGGGTTAGGAGGCCACTGCTCATGCAAAGACGTGAGTGTGCGGGCAGCAGAGAAACCAATGCTGGGAAAATAAAGGACGTTTTCAAAGGAGCCAATGTTTACAACTGAAGTATTTACTTCAGCGCTCTCCTTCCGATCTGCGTGTGTGTGTGTGTGTGTGTGTGTGTGTGTGTGTGAATACCGCATCCACTCTTCCCTGCAACGACCCAAACCTAGAGCAGAGAGGGTACCGCCAATCGAATTCTGTAGGATCCTGTGTGTGTGCTGAGAAGAATTATGGGTCCAAGAGAAAAGGATGGAATTTAGCAAAAACTAAACAATATTCAAAGTCAAGTTCGGCTACTTGGAGAAGATTCAAAGTACGGTAAATGTCAGGAATGACTTTATGTCTAAAGTGACTGGCCCGCGGGCCCCCAGGGACGTGGCCGGGACACTCCGGGAGGTGTGGCCCCCTAACCTGCAGGGAAGGTCCCCAGCGGCGCGGACTCCGTGCGGGAGGTGCCATCGCCCTCGCTCCGAGGGCTGTCCCTCAGGGAGGAGAGGGCGTCATTCGTGAACACACACACCTGCCTGCACCCGCCACCCTCCGACCCTCGGCGTCGGGCCCCCAACAGTCGGAAAGAAGGAGCTGGGTCCTGGAGTACCTCAGAGCCGCTACTGGATTTAGTGCTGGGAGAAGTGAGGGCGGCCCGGGCGGGCTCCACGCCGGTACTGCCGCCACGACCGGCTCTCCCGCCCCCTCCGTCCCCGCGCTGACCGGTGCGTCATCAGCATCCCCGAGCCGAGAGGGTGAGGTGTCCGGCGGTGGCCAAGCAGGTGCCGCTACCTAACGCGTGCGCTACGCACCGCCGCGCGGGCCGGGGGGCGGGGGGCCGGGGGGCCGGGGGGGCCGGGGGGCCGGGGGCCTGGGGGGGGTGGTGCGAGCCCGCCTAGTGCTCGCCCTTGGTCGGCCTCCTCTTCTTAGACTCGTCCCTCCGCTTCGGCTTCTTCCTCTTGCTGCCGTCTTTGAGTCCTAAGGAGACACGCTCGTGAGACACGGTGCCGCCCGAAGGGGCAGACCCGGCTCCCAAGTCTCCCCCGCCTGGCCCACAGGACGGTCAGCCTGTCTGCACCCTTCCCTACTTGTCCACACCCGCAGCCCAGCAGACTGCTACCCCGTCCACACCCGCAGCCCAGCAGACTGCTACCCAGTCATGGACACAGGGGACGGGGGGCGTTGAGCCCACACTGTCCTCTGCTCACCCTGCTGAACACTCGGGTCTGTCCTTGACGGCCCCACCCTGCACCCCTGCACAGCCCTCACACCTGCGCCCCTGCACCCCTGCACCTTCACGTGGCCCTCGCCCCCACGCAGGCCGCACACCTGTGGCCCCGTACCCCCGCGCACCCTCGCACTCAAGCTGGGAGGGCTGACTTTGCCCCGGAAACGGGCTCCGTGCAGCACCGAGCAGCACCGAGTGCTGTCTGCAGGGGCGCACCCGCTGTGGGCGGGGGTCGAGGCCACGGGCCGAGGTGTGCACGCCCGTGTCTCATCCAAGGACGCCGACCCTTCGTTTCCCCTGTGTTGTCTGGTTAATGAGACCACGGAGGGTGCGGGAGAGAAGGATGTGGAAGAACGCTGGGTGCCGTGGGGCGGGCTGCTGGGGCCTGTGAGCCTCTCCCGCCTCCACCACAGAGAGTCGATGCCCCTAGTCCGCTCGTGAAATCCTAATGCCTGACCCAGAAGGGACCCTGGAGGGCCCCCCCCGCAGCTCCAGCCCCTCCCCCAGAGGACACCAGTGGCTACAGCACAGGGCGGGAAGTCAACTCCTCACGTTTCTTATTAAAACGCCACTTCTGCTACCAGGCATTTTAAATTTGAAGACAATGACAGAAAAACAACTTGGGACAAACTCAAGGGATTTCAGCTCAAATGACAAGACTCTGGGGTGTGGAGCGGGTGCACCCGTGAGCGGCCCTGCTCCACGTCCCTCCTGGCAGGTGCCTGGCCCGTGCGTCTGGGGCACGTGGGGGACACCGACCGGCTCAAGGCATCGCGGCCCCAGGACCCTCGCACGCACTGCCCACAGCCACCCCTTTAGGAGACAGCTGTGAACCGATGCGGAGCCTCGAGGTGCCGCGGGCTCCCTGGCCACTAGGGAGGCAAGTTCCCAGAGCTGAAGCAAGGAAGGTTCTACCTGCCCCGACAGCCAGTCTGTCTGCTTGGGGACCGTCTGCAGGTTCACACAAGGAACAAGTGCTGGACGGGAACCCCGTCCTGATTCAAGCACGTCTACACCGGGGCTGCACATGTGCCCAGGGCTCCGAGCGAGGGAGCCAAGTGCTTGGGGGGAGGGGGGCACGGGGACTCCACGGGGACGGGCAGGCCCCCTCAGGCCCCACCTGACCCCCCCCAGCCACAGCCGTGGCGCAAACCTTGAGAGGAGTCAGTACCCACCCAGCAGGGCGGCTGGGAGTCAGCTCCTGGCCCCCGAGCCCCCACCGCACCCGAGACGAAGCAGGGCGCCGGGGCGTGAACCAGAGGCCAACAGCCACATGACACAGATGACGCCAGCGCGGCGGGGTCTGCGGGACGCCGGGCACACGCGGCTGTTAAGAGTCGCTGTGGCGCTTTCTTACGGGTCCTGCGCTCCGGGGACAGCCCACGGGAGACGGCCCCTCCGTGGTGCCTGAAGCTGACGGCCAAGAGGTGTGTCCGGCGAGACCGGCGGACAGACCCGCACAGCAGGCCACAGCAGGCGGCGCTGTCACACCACCGAGGGGAGGGGCCCAGAGAGGAAGGTCTGGAAGCCCTGGGGCAGCCGCGCAGAGACGCAGGGGGGACGGGGCCAGGGTCCTGAGCCTCCGCGAAGCCCAGCAGCAGATAGCGTCCTGCCCCAGACGCTTCTGCAGAGCCAGAGAAGGAAGATGGAAAAGGTGAAAGGGTCAAGTTTATTCTTTCCTTTGTCAAGTTTCCTTCTTGCTGAATAATTCCAATTTTCCTTTTGAACAGGTCCGTGTTCTTGCACACGTGGTGCGTGGACACTGGGACAGATGCTCCTCCCCCCACACCTCAGGACCGGCCGGGTCCACATGGCACGCGATGGGCAACACGAGGTGCCCGTGGCCTCCGAAATGAAGCAGGGGCGAGCATGACAGGGGCTTGTCTTCCGAGGAACAGCTAACGGGCACCACGGCGGGCGAGGCTGCACCACCCACGGGAGCCGGGGCCACAGAACCGCCACGCCTGCCCCTGCGCACACACTCTCGTCCCAGCCCTGGCTCCAGACGTGGAATCGGCCTGGCCGTGCCCTCCAGGTGGGAAACCCTCACCGAAACAGCAACCGCAGTGTCTAGAGTGAGAGCTCACCTTCAGCCTAAAAGGACCAGTTCCCTGAGCTGGGGGGGCTGCACCCTGCCTGCCGCCCATCAGGCCCCAGGGAACCCCCCCCCGTCCAGCGCTGTTCCCACCCCAAGGCACGAGCAGGGGCACCTGAGCTGCTGGGGAGCCACGTGCCTCACACACTATTCTTAACAAGCATTACCCCAGGCTCGGAAATGCGGCAGAAAGTCTCGTGTGGCCCCCAGGTCCCCCTGAACCCATCTGGGTGGCCCTCCCGCCCTGGGGGCCTTAACCGGCTTCCTGCCCGGCTGTCCCACGTTCTCTTCTTAGTCTGGGGACTCCCTTCGGGCGGCTACACCGTCTCCAGTAAGAAGGTCAATGGAAGTGCCTGGCATGAGCTCGCTGGACCCCTGCAGGGAAATCCTGTCTTTAACTCCTTGGGGCTAAACTCTGCTGCTCCCCCAGATGCCCCTCCAGACGCACCCCAGACGCTCTCCCAGACACCCCCCCAGACTGCCGAGGACCCCCCTGGGGGGCTGCCCCCCTCACAGACGGGCTCGCTCCAGGAACAGGCCTCCAAGCCTGTCCGTGGCCAAGGAAGACGGTCCGGCGACAAGGAAGCCCTGTCACCCCCTCTCCTGTGTAAGGACTTGAGCCGAGGGTCGTCGGGCCCCACGCAAAACAACGCCTGGTGGGGGCCTGACGGTAGAAACAGATGAAAACGAGAGGTTTCAGGGAGAAGAAGGACGTGTTTTTTCCACGGGAAGAAACCATCTGACTCACGACCCCCCAGCAGGGCTGACGTACTTCGCACTCAGCAGCCGTGGCCTCTGGGGACCCAGAGCAGGCGAGCGGCCTCACCCGGGAGCACGGGCCTCGCTCTGAGCTCGAAGTCCCCCTCAGGCCCGGCGTGCGGGCGCCCGTCCTGCGCTGAATCAGGCTTCGCCAGGAGGCCCATCTCTGCGCGCCTCGTTCTCGGGAACGAGGGCGTCCGGCCCGGACGCAGGCTTACGGGGTCCTCATACCAGACAAAGCCCATGAAGTCACTGTGGGAAGGGTGAGGGCCCGAGCACAATGCACGGCCTGCCCTGCCCCCGCCGCGCCCCCCCCCGCCCCCCGCCTGCCCTAAGACCATCAATCCTGGGGAGACGTGCACAGGCCCGCTCGAGGCAAAGGCATCTTTTGAATCCAAACAGCGCTTTCTCTCGGTTACCCGGACGGGGCCCCCGCCTCCGGCGCGCCCCGCTGCTGTGGCCGCCCCGCTGCACCGCCGTGGTCCGGGGCCCCATGGGGGGTGGGACGCCCCTTCTGTCCTCCGCCAAACCCTGACACCCACCCGCGCCCCCCCGAGGAGGCCCAGGGGCCGGAGGGGACTGGTCTCCCGGTAGAAAGTTCGGGGGCGAAAGGGGACGAGGTGCGCCCTCCGGCTGGCCTCCCGCTGAGCCCCACGGACGCGGCCCGGCCGCTCGCCTCGTGCCACTGCGACGGCGGGGGCCGAGGACACGGCTCTCTACCTCGCAGCGCTACGGTCCCCGTGGCTGCCCCAGTGGTGACGGCCAAAATGGCCCCGGACTTGGGAACGCAGGGTCAGAGCCACATGCACTGCGGGACCCTCAGAAACAATCCGGAACATTCCATGGGGAATCCGCCTCCAGAACCCACCAGGGCTCTGTAAGAAGTCGGGAAGCTGGAGGAGCGCAGAGCCAAGGCCCTGGAGGAGCGGCGGGCGGGCCTGCGGGCGCCCAGCCCCGCCCTCACGGGGAGCCCCGCCCCCACGGGGAGCCCCGCCCCCACGGGGAGCCCCGCCCTCACAGGGGAGCCCCGCCCCCACAGGGGAGCCCCGCCCTCACACGGGAGCTCCGCCCTCACAGGGGAGCCCCGCCCCTCACACGGGGAGCCCCGCCCTCACAGGGGAGCCCCGCCCTCACAGGGGGGTGCTCCGCCCCCTCACAGGGAGCCCCGCCCCTCACACGGGGTGCTCCGCCCCCTCACACGGGGAGCCCCGCCCTCACAGGGGGGTGCTCCGCCCCCTCACACGGGAGCCCCGCCCCTCACACGGGGTGCTCCGCCCCCTCACACGGGGAGCCCCGCCCTCACACGGGAGCCCCGCCCTCACACGGGGAGCCCCGCCCTCACACGGGGGCCCTGCCCTCACACGGGGAGCCCCGCCCTCACACGGGGTGCTCCGCTCCGCCCCCAACCAGGCACAGTGAAGCTCTCGAGGGGCAGGAAGCAAAGGCAAAGCGCGTCCTCAAGGGGCCGCGGGGCCAGGGGCCCGGGCGTGGGTCCGGCCAGGCTACGGGGGCTCAGCACTCATGGAACGACCCAAATAGGAGCATTTAAAGTAGAAGCGGCACGTGTCACCCTCTGCCCAAGACAACACACTTCACACCGTCGTGGACACTGGCGCCCCGTTTTAATTGGGGGGGATCTCCCGGGAGGGGAGCGAGAGCAAGGTGCCCCCCCACCGCCGCCCCGGGTGCCCGCCCCCCCCAGCCCCCACCCGCTCAGGTCAGGACACAGCAGCACAGGAAGGTTTTCTGTCCTCTCTGGTCCCGGGAGGGAGGGGGGGTGCCCTCGCGGGGACGCGCCGCAGCGGCTCCCCTTTGCACACCTGCAGAGAGCGCGAAGGGGTCCCAGGGGCTGCTGGCGGCCCGCGGCCGGCCCGACTCGTCTTCCTCCTCGTGGACGGGCAGAGCCTGGTGCTTGGGCAGCGCGGCGGGCGCGTGCACCCTCGGCGAGGGGGCGCTGCTGCCGGCGGGCTGGGAGGGCAGCGCGCTCTGGCCTCTGCGCAGGCGCTCTTCCCGCAGGGCCGCCTCGTCCGCCACACCTGGAAGCAGAGGACGGGGCAGGCGTGAGCTCACACGAGGCTCCCCCCCCCCCCCCCGTCCCCGGGGTCGGGCTTCGGGCGGGCGTGAGCTCACACGAGGCTCCCCCTTCCCCCCGTCCCCGGGGTCGGGCTTCGGGCGGGCGTGAGCTCACACGAGCTCCCCCCGCACTCCCCGTCCCCGGGGTCGGGCTTCGGGCGGGCGTGAGCTCACACGAGCTCCCCCCGCACTCCCCGCCCCCGTCCCTGGCATGGGTGTCGGGACGGGAGGAGGAGGAGGAGGCCTTCCCGCACCCTCGGCCCCGTGCCCGCCCCTCCACGCGCCCCAGTGACTCCGGACGCAGCCCGGCCCTTCCAGCAGGGGTGTGTCCCACGGAAATCGCTGCCGGGGCCGCCAGGACGGCCCTCCGACTCGGGCCCAGGCAGCCTGTGCACCCGGCACCGAGGGGGCCCCGTGCCGGCGGCCGCCCCACAGACCAGCCGAGAGGGGCCCTCACTGCTCTCAGAGTCGTGTTTCCACGGGTCGTTTAAACAACGGGACGCAGTTCTGCACACCGGCGAGCGCCCCGCATCGAATCGGGACAGTCGGACTCAGGGAATGATTCCGGGTTTCGGTGGCCGGAGGGTCTGGATCACCAGACACGCATGAAAGAGATGCCACCTAACTGTCCCCCCGAGGGAACGGCGGGGGCCTCCTACCAACCCCCTTCCAGGGAGGGGCTCTGTCTGGTGCGGACAGCCCGCAGCCCAAGAGGTGAGGAAGGGGCCGCCCGTCCGAGCGTGAGCCCCGCAGCACACTCAGCCCGGCAGCTCCCCGCTCTGCACCCACGGCCCCAGCAGAGACACAGCAAGAGTCAGGGCCGGGGTCCTGGCGGTCACAGCCGCCCCGGCCCGGGCTCGGCTCCGGGCGCAGACGCGGGCCTCTCCTGGGCAGGTCCTGCCGCTCGGGAAAGCACGGCTCTCGGACCCGACTTCTGAGCCGCAAGGACCGGCCGCCAAACCCTGGTGTGAACTTCGCCCTCACGCAGGGGTACTGGCCACGGAAGCGGGGCCACGCCGGTGTGAGGAGCCACGTGCAGTGGTCTCACCACCCACCCCGAGCACAGAAATCTCTGCTGAGAAATCCTAAGCCTTCGGGCGTCCTGCATCGTGGGGCTTGCACTTCAGGGGTTTGCCAAAGCCCGTCTGCGGGTCCTCACGGGGCCTCTGGACCCCGACATCCAGGCCCCCCAGCGAGTCCTGGCTCCGTGCCAGCTCACAGCTCTGACCCTTCTGCCCGGGCTCCCACGTGCTGGAGTCGGGTAACCGAGCCGACTTCCAAGCTGCGAGGGGATGCTCGGGGGTCCCGGGCACACGGCCGGGGAAAGACCCATCCGGGGAGCCTTCTGACCCCACTGCACGTTCCTCAGAGTGCAATCCGACGACTGAGCTGACGGCACACGGGTGCCCTGGGCCCAGCGGCCGCATCCGCCCCAGGGCCACCCCGTGCCCGCAGCAGGAGGGTGGTCAGCGCGACGTCTGTGAACAGGGCCAAGGTCAAGGTCAAGGCCAGGGGTGCCCCCAGGGGCCCACCTCTCCAGGGTCTGTGAGTCTTGGCTGACGTTATGCTTTTTGGCAAACAAAAAAGAAGGGACTCCCGGGTGCAAGGATGAGAGGCCGTGCGGCCGTGTCAGGAACCGCTGCTCGCTGCTGACGCCCCTGCAGACCATGCGTTTGAGGCAGGACGTGGAGAATGGACGAGGCAGAGCCTCAGTGTCTGCAGGTGCCCGGGCAGTCATGGGAACTCAGGTGGGGGCCTGTGCCCGCGACTCCTGAACACTGGCAAGGGGAGCGACCCCCGACCCAGGAGGGGCTCTGTGCACACGGGACGTCCCCGACCCAGGACCGGCTCTGTGCACACGGGATGTCCTGACCTCAGGAGGGGCTTTGTGCACATGGAATGTCCCCGACCCAGGACCGGCTCTGGGTACATGGAACTCCCCGACCCCAGGATGGCTCTGTGCACACGGGACATCCCGACCCAGGACCGGCTCTGTGCACACGGGACGTCCCGACCCCAGGATGGCTCTGTGCACACGGGACGTCCCGACCCAGGACCGGCTCTGTGCACACGGAATGTCCCGACCCCAGGATGGGCTCTGTGCACACAGGACATCCCGACCCCAGGTCAGACTCTGTGCACACAGAACAGCACCCAAAGCACATGCTCAGCTTCTGTCCCTCTGGGAGGAAGATGCTGGAGCCCAGTGACGGCAGTGGGACACGTCTGAAGGGCACCGGTCACCCCTTCCCTGCCCCACAATCACACTTCCCACTCTCCATATGAGCCTTAAGTGTTGCACCTTGCAAACGACAGTGTAACCTTTGAGGGGTGTCTGTGTGGCTTCCGCTCAGGTCATGATCTCACGGTTCATGAGTTCAAGCCCCACATCGGGCTCTGCAGCTCAGAGCCTGGAGCTGCTTCAGATTCTGTGTCTCCGTCTCTCCCTGCCCCTCTCCTGCGCATGCTGTCTCTCTCTGTCACTCCATAAGAAAAACGTTAAACTATTAAAAACAAACAAACAAACAAAAAACACCAGTGTAACCTTTGAGAAGATGTCAACCTGAGTGCAGAATGCTAAACATCGGCATGTCCACGTCTGGGCGTGACCAAGCAGGAGGCGGGGCCGCGGCGTGTGGAGCCGTGTTCCCACCCTGCTAACCGCCCCTCGGGAACACGTGGAACTGAGCCTCCCACGCCGCAGAAATGGGGTGGTGTCTTCCCCACAATCTCCACAACCCCAGAGCTCTGCACCTGAAGCCGAGACCTCCCCCCGGGGGAGGACGTGACCCCGTCTGGATGTGGATGGCCACACGGGAAGGGTTGTGACCTCGTCTGGACAAGGACCTCCCCCCATGAAGAGCATCGACCCCGTCTGGGCGTGGACACGCCCCTGGGAGGGCGGTGACCCTGTCTGGGCGCGGACCTCCCCCCACAGTGAACAGCGGGGCGCAAATGGCCCCACGGGGAGGGCGGTGACCCCGCGTGGGCCTCACTTCCGGCACTTACACGGCGGACGGGGAGCCGCGCCCTCCGGCGCTGGAGGCCGCACAGGGCAGGCTGCGGTGCGGCGGGTCGGCCTAGCGCCAGGCCCGGGACGCCGCGCCCCCCCCCCCCCCCGCGCTCTGCGCTAACCCCCGCCGCGCGGGCCCAGGACGTGACGTGCGCGCACACGGGCTCCCGGGCATGCGCTGTGTCCCGTGTTTGCGGTGTGGCCGGAAGACACAGGTCCCTCAGGTGCTGAGCTTGATGCTCCTCTGGGGCCCCAACACGGAAAACAGATGGTGGCCGCTTCCGTCCCTGCACACTGGCCCGCGTCGCCCAGGGCTCTCGGCTCCGGACACCCTCTGGGCTCAGCAGGCGAGCAAATCCCGGACGCGGACGGCACCGCGCCCGGGGCTGGCGGGAGGCGGGTGGGTGCTCCCTGCGCGGCGTCCCGGGGGCTGTGTCCCCGCCTTCCTGAGCCCAGCGTTCTGGGCAAATCCCAGCGCCACCGCTGCCCAGGCCCCGCACAGGCGGGACACGCAGGGGCGCCTGTCGTCCTGGTCCACACGGGTCACCCTACGGGGACACGGGGACTGGCTCGTCGTGAGCTCCCAAGGTCCTCAGGTGGCAGCAGGACAATCAAGTCACTGACCTCAAAAAGTTCCACAAACTTCACTGTCTCAGGCACCGGGAAAACAGTCCGGGGAAGGAGACAAAGCGAGTGAGACGCAGAGACTGAGTCACGGTCCCCCCCAGAGCTCTCGCGGGGTACTTCCTGCAAGGACTCCCTGCACCCGCTGCGGGCACCGGGTGCGGGCGGCGCTGACGGGCCACCGTCCGCCGCCTGCTGTGAAAGGGGCGCAAGGGCCGGTTTTGATAAGAGCGAAGGTCACAGTCAAGTTCTACCCGAGACCCAGGGCGCCGCCGTCCTCACGCCGGGGCGTGAAGCCCACTCCTCCTCCGGGCTGGGGGCTGGGGGCTGGGGGCAGACTCACGGGGCCTCCGCCTGCGCCCCCTGCTTCGGAGCCACCAGAACAGGGAGAAGGAGTCTGACAGCTTCTGGAAGGAGGGTCCGCGCCCGTGTCGGGAGAGACCATCGTTACAGAGGGCGGGTCCTGCCCACACACTTGACCTGCTATGCAGGTGACTCAGCCCCCACAGGGACCCCACCTGCCCCCGCCGCGTGGTGACGCGAGGCAGCTTCTGCTTTAGAGCAGCCTTCCTTACCTTCCTCAGAGCCGGACGCACCCCTGCGGCTGAAGCCAGCACCCCTGCCCTCCCACCACCTCCCACCAAGCCCCTGTCCAAGCAGAGCCCGAGGGCCGGGCCAGGCCAGGGCCGGCAGGCGGGGCTCCCACGGCAGATCCCTGCTCCAAACCCAGGGCCGCCATGGGCACCTCGGCCTGGGAGGGACCGGCGCTGACAAACATCTAAGCCACACGGTGCATCAGAGCGACGGAAAACTGGGAATTCAGAGAGAAAAGCGAGCACTGCCCCTCCCCCCATCCCCACACCCAACGTCACTTCTAGAGACCAGCCACGTTTTCCACGTGTCCCCAACGTCGGTGCCACTAACTACAAAGTCGTCCTCCTCTGTGGAGCTGACTGCGGCTCGTCTAAACCACCTGACTCCACTCTGTACCGTGGGAAGGCCACACAAAGCAGCTGGGGAAGACCAGCCCGTCCACCTCCGCCCGTACCAAATCTACAATTTTGGTATAATCTCCGCAAGCCTGTCGTCTCTGAATGACCTAAACGTGGTGTTAGTTACAACACTCCAAACATCCGCTTCTGGAAAACGGAATATACCAGAACACATTGGTCCCCGTTGCCCCAAGTTAAAAAATTCAAAAACAAAACCATGGTATGTCGGTGTCGGGGGCCGAGGTGCATGAACTCAGCAGGAAGCTATGGAAGGCACGCGGGGCAGCCGCCCCCTTCGCACAGAGGCCGCTGACGCCCTGGCGCGCTCCCCAAA